CATGGGCCCCTAAAACCCCTTTTTACCTCTCGTTGACGTCATTTCTTTTTTATAAAAGGAATTAAAATAAAACAAAAACTGTTGGTTCGAGCAGACGGGACCCCGCCTCCGCCGTCGAGATAATGCCGGGATGACTTATTGAGATGTCGCTCGCGTGCCGGTCTGTCGCCACCTTGGCGATGTGGGGCATGATACTGTGTACGCTCCCTACAACGTCTTCCGTATCGCGGCATTCCCCATAGTCACGCCACCGTAGGGTTGCCACAGATCTCGAAAAGTGTTTCACTATCCGAAGCGGTCAGGGAAAAAGTCGAGAAAAATAATGACAAGCAGAGAAAATCATGGAAATGTCCATTAATTCTGATTCTTTCGTCCATTACCACTAATTAAATTAAAGAAAAGTTGTATTCTATGTTTTCAAATAACTAGTAAAGAAATTAGAAGAATTCGGAAAAATCGTGGTTTGCAAACCATGCATTGCAGCCATGGCTGGAGAGCAGGTTATTCGTTGAAAGAGCGGAAAGTTTCGAAAACCTTGCAAACAAAATTGCGCCGCAACGCAGGCCATCCCGTCTTGACGGCGCACCTCCGGTGCTGCCTTGGACCGGGTCCGGTGGGGGTCCGCGGGGGCAGCCAGTGGCCCGCGGAGGCAAACACTGTACGTAATGTTGTTCTGCTCGAATACGCGATAAACACGCGCCGCCGCCGCCCGCACACTGCGGACCGCGCAGACACTTAGCGAACAAAGTAAAGTGTGCGTGACGTACAATTTGACAATATCACTCAGTTTTATTTAAGGACAAAAAAAAAATGTGGAAATTTTGAGGAACTCTCTAGCAGGTTTGAGGCACAATCCCCAGATTTTGAGGAAGTCTCCTCAAAAACCGGAGGGGAATAATGTCATGACCTTTTGTATTTATTTCTGTTTTTTTTTTCCCATTTTGTGGTGGAAAGAGTACTCTTGCATTTCCCGCGCTTCACGCGCATGCTCACGCAAGAGCACGTCTACTGACTACTTCTGCTCTGCTACTACTTTACAACTACCGCTTACTGTACTAGTGCAGCTGTGTGCCTGGCGCTCGCTTGATGCTCGCGTCGTGCGTGCGTGCGTGCGTGCTTACGCGGTGTGGACGTGCGGACGGGTTGTTCCAGTCAGCGGCGGCTGAGGAAAGGCGGCCCATACATGTGTGACGTGCGGCATATGGCCCCCCCGGGTGTCGTCAGCCCCGACGGACGGGACGGGACGGCCCTCCCACACGCCCCGGCCGCCCTCAGGAAGTGTAGCGTCGCACTTATCTGCGTGACCTCTCTGTTCGGCGGTTACCCGCCACCAGTTTGAATATAGCCTCTCTCGCGACCCAGCCCATAATATCCCACCATGACAGCGCCCCCCCCGACCCGCCCCGCGTGTCCCCAAAGTGTAATCTGTAAAACACGACCTCAACACGCTCTGTCGGCCTAGAATGCGTGCGCAGTAGTGTTGTTGTTCCGCGTTTGACGCCCGAAGCGGAATGCAGAACATATTCGTGTGAACTGGTGTGTGACGCGATATGCGACGACAAGGAGGACGAGCCATGTCACGGCACCTGCTGCCGCTGCGTCGGCGGGGAACTGCACAAACAGGACAGCAAATATACTGATCCTATCGGATTGGATTCCGAATGTAGACCCCCCCCACCTCCTTTTTCCCTCGGGCGCACCCGCAGTGACGTCGTGCGGCCGGGCCGAGCCGGGGGGGATCGGGGATCCGAGCAAGGGAATCTTTCTCTCCTCGTCCTCCTCCTTCTCCTCCCCTCCCTCTTCCTTTCGCGGCGCGCGTACTACTAAACTATACTTCCGAAAAGAAAACAAAACGTAGGGTGGGGCGGGAGGATTTGGAGGAGGAGGGGGACAGATTGTAAAAGCTTGGCGATGAGGCGAGTGGCCCCGACCGAGTCTGTGTGTGCGTGTGTTGTCAGTCCCACTGAGACAGCCGCGTCGAACGGACGACGACCGAACGGGTCATATCAATGTGTTTCCTCGCTGAGCCGCGCGCACCACATCAGCACCACAGGCCAATAAAGCACGCGGGCGACAGTCTGAGGATAAACTTTAAATTAAAAAGACTCCTCGAGTGTGTGGATGAGAGAAAGTGACGTTGATCCTCTCTCTCAGCGGCGAAATATTAGCAGACGTGTGAATAAAAGAGACGCAATAACTGCCGCTGGGGCTTTTTGAACGCTGCGCGATCCGTCTCCATGCGGGGGGTTGAAGCTCCTCCGCTCCAGCTGCTCTGTCTGCTGCCCTCCTCCGTCTCCTCCGGCGGCATGCGTGACACGGTGGGCGGCGCGCTGTGGGTGCGTCGCTGCGTGCGTTCGCTGAGGAGGCTCATGTCCAAGGTAAAAGATAAACCATTTTCGTCCCGGTACACTGATGACAAAACGTGTGCTACTGGCATGCACATTGTAGTTGTTTACCTTCTGTGGTGCATTCTCTGAGGTCATGGGACTGGAAATATGAATACGTAGAAGAGATCAAAGCTAAATTTAAACCATTGTGAACCCTGAAGCTGAACATACTTTTACTTTCAACTGTTGAACTTGACCGTCAAACACTTTCAGTATTCAAATATCTAGTCGAACACTTACAAGTGGGCCACGAAGTGTTGAGCATAGTTGCATGTGCACGCCAGATGCGCACTTGATAATCAGTGTTTCGGTTAAATTGTCAAATTAATTTTTAAAAAACACACAAAAAAAGCAACAAGTCCAACTTTTAACATATTTTTTCTGAAATGCTCATAATTTTTTTCGTCGAGTAGTGCGTGCGGGTTGCTTGCCCGGCTTGTTGATAGTGCCGTTAGGGGTGTGTAAAGTTAAGCTGTAAAGTTAAGCGTGAACCCACTCACGCGTAAGCTCACGAGATCGTTATTCGAAAACACGGCAACATACCAGGTAGGTCGTGTTCAGGCCAAGACATGCCATTGCGTTGGGTTGCCTATGCCCTGGCTGCAGGGGCTGCAAGCGTGGGGCGGGTGGTGGGGGAGCTGCCACTTCACCGCCACCCACCCCGCACCTGCAGCCCCTGGAGCCAGAGCATAGGCAACCCAATGTACTGGCATGTCTTTGCCTGAACACCTGGTACACGTTTTCAGGAAGTGGGGGAGCTCAGGGATCATTATATTTTCGGTATTCTGTTCGATTCCGCAGAGATTCGGGTGTCGACGCAGGTCTTCGACAACCACCGGAAACTCCCCGCGCTGTATCAGCCCTGCGCCTTCCCCCCGGATCTCCCAAATCAAACAGAATACCGAAAAGAGTAATGATCCCTAGGCTTCCCCCTTTCTCACAATTTGTATGTTGTGCCATGTCTAAGAACTACCCCGAACGAACTCACACCCCGCGTGAGCTCAACTTTACACACCCAAGGAATAGACACTGCGGCGTACAGCGCGGACAGCAACCCGCGTTGTTATTCATCCCTCGGCCCGGGCCACCTCGTCGAGCCCGGCAGTCCAGCGGGGCGGTAAGGGAGAGAGGGGAGGGAGCAAATGTTATTTCCCCTGTGAGCGGCCGTGACCTCGTCTGTCCCCGCACCGCCTCCTCCACTTTCTTCTCTATGCCGTTTTTAATCCGCGGCAGCGATGAAGAAGTAAATGCGAGTGTGGTGGGCGTGTGTATGTCAGTGTAAGGGGGGTGGGTGGGGGGACGAGATAGCGGAGCGAGGAAAAGGGCGGCCTGCAGCACGAGCACGGCAAGGTGCACGACCTCTACGGTGGGGTGGGGTGGGGCGGGGCGTAGAAGGTAGCGAAACTGCTGGCAACAGGTCGGCCGCAGGGCGGGCGGTCGTTCAACCTCCGGCGCTCGCCACCCTTTGGGGCGTCGCTCTCTCTCTCTCCCCTCTCCCTCTCCCTCTCTCCCCCCCTCCCTCCTGTGCTCCTACCCTTGGCGAGTCCTCTTTCTGCGAGTCACGCGTCCCTGATTTTATTCTCGTCAGCTGCAAGCCCCCCCCCCGGCCCTCCCTCCGCGGTGTGATGGCACAAAAGCCCTTTTTGTACCGTCCTGGAGGGATTATGCGGCTGCTTCGATATGAGCGAATGACGGTGCAGTCGTGTGATGCAAAGGCAATATCGAGATATCGACCGCGAGATATCGATTGTTGCCTGGGGTCAGCGCCTCGCTCGACAGGACGAAATTTATGTTTTTGGAGCGTTATTTATCGCCCTCATTTTCTTTTCCCTTGGTTTTCGATTAGAGCCCCGCAAACGAGCGAGCTCCGCGAGCTAGACACCTTCTTCGGCGGGTGAGAGGGGCGGTAGGCATTTAGCTCGGGTAGCTAGCTCGTTGCGGGGCTCTATTTTCGACTGGGTGGGTCTGCTTATCTGCGGCTGGGTGCGCGCGGCGCGCGGCACAAGTTGTGTCGGGGTCCTGGAGGTCCTGAGGCAGGGGTCTCAGACACGCGGCCCACGGGCCACTCGGGCGAGTCTCGGGCCGCAGTGCGGCCCGCAGCGGGCCGCACAGGCTGGTATAGGGACGGCGCCGCTCCACGCAAGATGGGTTCGGCTGCCGTTCGGGTCCGGGAGAGTGGGGAGAGCTTCCCTCGCCGTCCCCAGCCGCCGGATTTGAAAGTGCGCGCAACTTGTGCATTTTGCGCGAACGTTCAAACTATACGCAAAAATGCGCCAGAAAGATGTGCGCTTGGCGCGAATGTTAGCGCTACCGCTACAACTAGCGCCACTCGTGCCGAGCCATGCAACTTGGCTGCTGTTTACCTCCGGGCGAACGCACCGGCCAGCGGCCACTGTCGCCTTGTGCATGTGCTCGTCAAAATGTCGCAGAAGAGAAAGGTTTCTGATGAAAACCGTGTGTTCGCCCAGCGATGGGAGGACTCGTATCTTTGTGTTGTGGTGAA